ATAGCAGTTAAACGCCGATGAGACGCTATGAAGCTTGAGCTATTCGATCCATCCTCGTTGTGGCAGTCCCGCAAGGATATCAGGCTCTTCGAGGCGCAATCCATCGGCCATATTTTTCAACCCATTCCCGCGAGTTTTTGGCTATACACCACCCGGTGGTAACCGCAGAAGCGAAGACGAGGTTTATATTACTGGCGAATCTCAAGAACAAATTGGTCAGGCAAAGAAAAAAATTACACGACCCTGGTCACAGGAGTCAAGATTTTTATGAAGAACGTTAAACTGTCCTCGAGTAAAATCGACAATATTCTTCTAGATCGTTTGGACAAGGTTCGCAAAGTCATGGAAGCTAATGGCACGTATGTCCTTTTCCCATCATTGGGCAGTCAGCATGGTATGGTTCGTGTTCAAGGGACGGAAGTTCTTCATATTGAGCGAACCGTGAGGGAGATCATGGCATTGGTAAGCTTCACTCTTCCTGCAAGTATGAGTGTAATCACGTATGGTAACCATTTTCCCTCTTAGGCTGGCCAATTCTACAGTGCTTCCTGGTGGCTCATACTGCCCGACCCTACCCAAGCGGGTTCCATGCGTGGCCCGTCCCCAGCTGATGTTAGAACGATGCTTTCCGATATCTGCACCAACTCGGGCGCTGAAGTCAGTTTCGACAAGCTGACTTTCACCATTAATGGCTCCGATGATTCTGTCAAAGCGGCTATGATGGTGATTCAGCAGATTCCTTTCGTGAAGCGTACACCTTATCAGATGCGTGTTAAGATTGAGCTGGCGAACGAGCATAAGGAATTTGTGAGTGGCAAGAAGAATGGCAAGATCAATAAGATCATGGGTCAAAGTGAGTTTCCCAAGCTTTCCTTTGTTGTGCCTCCCTACGAGAGCAGGCATGCTTACGTCTTGTATGATAGGTAATGTCCAAATCATTTTCGATGGCTTCAATGAGTATAATTTCTACATCGATGTTTGCGGAACACAGTATGATGCAACTAGGAACGGGCTCGACCTGGTCGAAC